TAAAGACTTAATACACTTGAAGTTTGGTTCTCTCAAGAGGTATATTATTTTTGCTTTTTTGGTTTCAATCCAAAGAATGGGAATTCTATCTTGGCTCATAGTGTTAAGTATTGGCTTCTTGTTGGTTAGATGGTTCTTATCCCTAGCTTTTACCTTATGCTTTAGGATAGCCCCTTCTTCTCCTCCCATCTTTTTTAATTTCAAAAATCTTCTCCCTCCTTTTGAAAACCCTTCTTACTTTTAAACTTGAACCACTTTCATAATAAACTTGACTTAGGTCCGTGCATTTTCAAACATTTTCATAAATAAACTTAAATAAACTTAATAATACTTTGACATTTTTGTGAGAAGACTAAAAGTCAATCAATCTCATTTCAAACCATTTTGCCACTTTGGCTTTACCTTTAAACTTTTTCTCAAAAAAAGATTGAACTCTTGTCAATCCTTGTAGTGATGCAAAAAACTATACTTCTACAATATATAGTGAAGAGAGATATTTTTCACTTGGGTGTTGAGTGAGGCATTGTTGATTTTAAAATCCAATTCATATCCTCCACTTTGAGATGATGCAAATTCTCCTTTCTCATGATTGTGGGTAGTAGGTATGTTTTTCACACGGACAATGACGGTGATGTTTTATCTCATAAAATTAATCAACGCATTTGTGTTTTAAAATTTTTAAAAGAGGAACTATGTGTACCCTGATCCCCTATTGCACGAAAAGGTGGTACATAGGCACTAAAGGTTCGCAACTGCGGCGGGTGCAAAAAATCATAAAAAATATATTTCTTTTCTCACCTCCACCATCCATTTTTTACACAACATTTTTTTATATAGCCAAAATATAAATATTTTACAAAGAGGTTCCTGCGGAGTACCGTATATGTTTAGGGTGCTAATACCTTCCCTTTGCATAAACAACTCCCCTTACCTAGAATCTTTGCCCCTCTTTTTGGGTTATTCGCTCTTTTCCCATTCCTTTGGAAACAATATAGCGCGGTGGTGATTTTTAATTTTAATTTGTATAAGTCTAGTCAATCCAATGGTTTAGTCTTAAACATTTCTACTGCTACACTAACATAAGCCTATAATATCCTCAATATAAGTAAAATTATAGTATCTTTAATAAATAATATTTATTTCTCATTTTTAAAGTAATTGACATGTTAAATTTTGCCACTTATTACATAATAATAGTTGATTTATTAACTCAAGAGTTTAGAAAATACTTTAAACATATATTCAACTATTTTATCTATCACACAATTATCATGTCAAACAACGTCATATCGATAGGGTATGTCCATCACTTACATAATACAAAGAGAATTATAATTCATTAAAAAATATTGAAAATAAATCATTGGATTTTATAAAGTATTACATGTCTTTAAAAATAATTTCTTTTTTTAATCAAAGAAAAGATATATATTAATTAAAAAAAAACAGTTACAAAACAAGTGATCCTAAAAGGGATCTAACTAGACCTAAAAGACTATGTTTACATAATAAATTCTATTAGATGGCTTCTAAGCTTAACTTTGAGCCATCCTTTATAAATCATAGTGTCAACTATATCATTCACAATTCTATTGCTATTAATAGTATTTCCAAAAACAATATCATTTCTATAATTCCAGATTCACAATTCTATTGCTATTAATAGTATTTCCAAAAACAATATCATTTCTATAATTCCAGATGTGGTATATAGTCTCAACCACAACCATCTTCAAGAGGTCTACTTTCCACCCTTTTCCTTTAACCTTCCCACATATCCATTAAATTTCTTCACTACACTGTTTTGGATCATGGTTTACATTGATCCAAGCTAAAAATCTCTCCAAATACACTTTGTTTTTTCACAGCTGAAAAGGAGATTATCAAGATTTTCTACTTCCATCTTACAAAGAGTACACATGTTATCATTTAGCATCCCAAATCACATTAATCTTTCCTTTGTGTCAAAACTATTATGACAGGCCATCCATAGGCATTGAACAACTCGAGGTATTTCCATATTATACTTCATCAGCTTGCTCCAAATTACTATATTCCCATCATCAATAAGCTCATTGTAAAAATTTGAGGCCTTGAATCTTTGATTATTCAAAGTCTCCTCTCATAGTAAGTATGGATCCACCTAACCCATAGGTTTTCAACCTTCCTGCAAATATTTCATAAGCAAGACATCATTCCATAATTCCAGATTTGGAATTTGCATCCCCCCTTGATTTATAGGTTTGCACATTTTTTGCTAGGCCACCGGGCTTTTTTTGCTGAATATTTCCTTACCATACCAAATGAAGCTCCTACATATGATGTTGATCTTCTTGATAACAAACTTGGGTATTGACATGCAGTATATCCAGTATTGTGCAATAACATAAGCAATGCTCTTGACCAATTGAATTCTTCCAGTATAGCTAAGAAGTTTTGTTGACCAATGATGAATTATGGCTACAATTTTATCCACCAGAGGAAGGTAGTGGGGAATATTCAACCTTATGCTAGTGATGGGAACCCCTGAGTACTTTAAGGGTAGAACACCCTTTTGAAAACCAGTCAGACCTCTTAAATCCTCTCTACTACTTCCATCCAATACTAGTCCAGTAGATTGAGAGAAATTGTTGAAAGGTGATAGGATAAGTTGTATAGAAACATAATCACCTCTACACAACAGTAGGACATCATCAGCAAAAGTTAGATTGTAAGCTTCATCCTTTCACACTTAGTATGGTGATTGAAGTATGGGTTCATTTGCATCTTGTACATGAGCCTATTCATTTATTCCATGATAAGAACAAAAAGCAAAGGTGATATGGGATCACCTTGCCTAATCCCTCTTTTAGCCTGCAAGTAATCAGTATAATCTCCTATTATATTGAATTTTTAGGATACAGTAGAGACAAGAGTCATTATCCAATGGATGAATTGATTAGGGATGCCTATTTCCCTCATGACGCATTCTAGAGACTAAAAATTAACCATGTCATAGGCCTTTTGTAGGTCCAGATGCATTAAAACTCTAGGGGTCCCTCCTTTTCTGGTGTATCCTTGGAGCAACTCATTTGCTAAAAAAATATGATTGTGTATGTGATGCCCTGGAACAAATGCAGCTTGACATTGAATAATCACATACTATAATGCATTTCCCAATCTATCAGTCAAGATTTTTGAGATTAGCTTGTAGAAGGTTGTACATACAGCTATAGGCATGTAGTCTTTTATCTCTCTTGCATTATTACTCTTGGGAATCAAAGAAACAGTAGTGTTGTTGAAAGCTTTATACAGCTGGCTTGTGTCAAAAAACTCTTTCACATCAGCAATCACGTCATTCTTTATTATATTCCAGCTGGCTTTGAAGAATCTTTCTCCAAATACATCAGCACCTGGAGCTTTCAAATCCCTTATCCTCTTTAAAGCTTTCTATGTATTTGTATCAGTCAGTATGCTAATCAAGGCTTGCCTTTGATTTCTATTCAACTGACTTCCCATCCTCATAGCCTCTATATCAACACAAGTGATATTGTTATCCACTTTCCCCGTGAGGTTACTAAAAAAACTCAAGAACTTCCTTGCCAATGTCTTGCTGATTCTGTATTATAGAGCCATCACTTTTAATCAAGTTGATCAAACTATTGGTGTGGTGTTTAGATTTGATAGAAGCACATAAATAAGAGTTGTTTTCATATCCATTCTTCAACCACTAAATTTTAGACCTCTGCATCAAAATCTTCTCTTCAAGGTCATTAAGAGATAAAACCTCCTCAGTCAATCTCTTGATTTTTTCAATAGTATGTATGTGCATCATGTTGACAACAAGATCCTTTTAAGTAATAGCAAGATTGTTTCTGGCTTCATTCAATCTTTGATTCATATCAGACAAAGGTTTGTTGAAGTTCCTCGAGTTCTTCTTTAATCTTCTGAGCTTGTGCCACAAAATGTACACTGGTTTTCCCCTTAAAGGTCTTTCCCAACTCTTTCAAACCACATCATCAAAACCAGGGAGATCCACCAAGCAATTGCTAAATTTAAAATGCTTCTTCATTTTCCTATGTCCTTCTTTACTTTCAATGAAAAGTAGAGCATGATTAGATATATGGGGGGAAGGATCTTTAGGCTATTATCAATATAGTTGTTGAACCAATCAGTATTTCCAAGGCCTCTATCAATTATAGAGTAGATTGTCCTCACATCATGCTTGTTAGACCAAGTAAAGTAGTCTCTCAATCTATCAATTTCACTTAATCATGTTGCCATCATCATATTTTGTAAATCCTCATACTCATTTTCTATAACCATTTTGCCTCCCACTCGATCCTAGGCTTTAGCAACATTGTTAAAATCACCTATTACACACCAAGGTCCTTTTAAATTTCCATAAAGAAACTCACTCTCCTTCCACAGAATTCTTCTTTTGTTCAACTGATTATGAGCATACACTACAGTAAGCCAATATTTGAATCCCCCGTTGGTGTCATAAACCCCACGGTGAATCAATTGGCTAGAACTTTGCACCATTTTGACATCAACCTTATTCCTATCCCACAGCAACCAGATTCCACCATTTAAATTATCCTTATAATTGTCCAGATAATTATCATATATTTGAAGCTTATCTCTAACATTCTTTGCCTTAGCTTATTTAACTTTGGTTTCAATCAAAACAATAATAGTAGGCTTGAGATTAAGGAGATGGGACTTAATCTCCCTTATTTTTCCTACTTTGTTAAGGCCTCTAATGTTCCATGAGGCTAACATGGATCAAGATTGATGGTTACGAGAGGGTCATTCAAAACCTCAAGAACCTCAAATCCATTAGTGTACTTAACTAAACTAGTAGAACCAGTTTGAACATTCTTACCTTTATCTCTAGGAGAATTTCTCACTGTGATCCACCTCTCTCCTTCCACATCTTCTTTGTTCTCTACTTCACTTGGCCCTGTTGTTGGGGGAGGAGTTGTTTGCTTTTTCACTTAAGGAGGTTTTCGCTTTGGATGCCATTGTCGAATCTTCTTTCTGTCACCACAATTTTATCCCAACTTTTGGCATTTTTCACAAAAATCTGGTCTCCATTCATATTCAACAGGGTGCATCATCATGTTACCTTCAGAGTTCTTAATGGCAATTTCATTGATAAGCTGTTGTGTGATGTCCACTACAATCAAGATTCTAGCATACGATACACAGAGCTTTTTTTCGTACATTCATCAATCACAAGTGGCTTACCTATGGCACTGACAATCTTGTTAAGGCTTCTGATTCCCCATAGATGAAGGGGAAATTGAGAGATTTTAACCTGAATTGGGAGCGTTCGTAGCAAGTCTTTCTTTAAATTGAATTCAGGTCGCCACTCCTTCAAGATCAATGGCATGTTCCTTATAGTATAGGGTCATTTCATCATCACCTCATCCTTATCCTCCTGAGAACAAAATATTACCAAGAAATATCCCTCATCATTGTAATAGAGACCCGGGATCTTCACGAAATTCCATATTTTCTGCATATAGTTCTTCATGGCATTCATACTCAATCTTCTCCCACCACATATAGGATCAAAGTATTTTCCCATAATTAAGTTTTAGTAGCAATATGTTGATAAATCTCGATTTCTACAACCCTGTTCACCATCTTCGAGGCCACGTAATCCATAGCCAAACCTTTGGCTGGGTTTCGATTGTCGCTAATCACATCTACCCAGAGTTTTTTCCTTCCATTTTTTATTTCTCATTTTCTGTTAGGGTTTCACTTGCTTTATGAATCTTCTCTTCATCGTTGTTAATCTTATCTTCATATTGTTGTTTTCCTCTGCTTCATAGAGATTCTCTCGTGCCTCTTATTCATGGACCTCCGGTACTGGTAGGGTTTCCGGCAACGGTGGTACCGTTGATTTCGGCCGCCCACGCCCCCGTTTTGCCAATTCAGAGAATAAGAGAGAGAGAGTATTTTCAAATGTGAGAGTGAACAATGGGTTATATATTAGTATTAATAGTATTAATAATTTCTTATTTATTATAATCTCAAATAATAGTATTAATAGTATTGAATAAGAAATTTAATAACAATGTACAAATATTATGTCACAAAATTTTTTAATATTGATAACGTACTCGAATCATAATTTACATAATCATAAATCGTAAGTACATTTAACAAAAATTATATTAACAATGACATATCGATAGAGTATAACTATTATCAATATAATATTTATTATAATTAAAAATAAATTTAATTATTTTACTAAATAAAATTTGTACAATTGTACCCACGATAGACGAGTTACAATCATACAAATTAAAAATTATTTTATTTTATTTAAAAATAAAAAAATTTGTATAATTATATCTACTATATGTGAGATTACAATTATTAAAATTAACTAAAATAAAACTCTCAAAGTAATAAGCTTCTTAATATACTCATAAAACTAGATTTTTGTTTATTTATTTATTTTTGAGTATATGATAAAAAATCAATTCATGACAATAAATAAGGAGCTTTAAATCAGAATATTCTGAAAAAATAATAATTTTGTATAAATGCACTTTTTATAAAAAAAAATTCAAAAGCAATAAATAGTATTAGAAACAATTTCTCTTTATATGCAATTATGTAATACAAGAGATTGAATAATAAATTTTGACTAACCTCAAAGAATGTGATATTTATTCTTACAAATAGAGTTTGTGAACTTTAATAACTTTTAGAGTATTACAATGTTGTCTTAAAAATAATTCATGATCAAAGAGAATATCATTATACCATATTAAAAGAATAACTATAAATCACCATAATTCGACAAAAATACAATTTAACTTTTATAAATAATAGCTCAAAACAATTAATATTTTATAAATGAGCATGTAAATAATATTAAATAAATTTAAACAAATGTAATTCCTTATGACACCTCAATTATGAGAGTGAAATATGTATTAAAGTATCACAAAAGAGTAAAAAATATAATTGATAGTATTAATTTATTCTCAATTATATAATATCTCTTAGCGTTCAAATAAAGTAAAAATTGTTTTCTTTAATAGGTGGACAAAAGGAAAACTAGCAAGTGTTATGAAATAATTTTGATCTCAGAATTTTGTTCGTACATGATGTATTCAGGCCTCTTCTACTACTCGGATTACGAGAGAAATTTATATAATGCAATTTGGTTATACATTATAAAGATCTTTCCATGAGTTTAAATCATTATCTAAATTCCAATGGAAAAGCATATTGAAAAAACTACATTATTTCAAAAAATCAAAAATGGAAAACATAATTTCTCTTTATTTAGTTGATAAAAGAAACTTTATCTTTTAAGTATTTGGAATCAGATGACATAAATCCTCAATCAATTTCAATAAAAAGACAATTTTTATCATATGATATCCTCTAAATACTTACGCGTAAATAATCAACAACACCAAAAGGTTTTGGCTAATTATCTTTCATGTAAATTGGTCTTGTCAACGAAAAAATGATACGTGAATTGTTTGATGCAAAAGCTTTATAGGGTTTAGATTATGATAATACAAATTAATAAGCCCTCTCGATCAAATCAATTGTACACCAAAATAATATAAATTGAATACTTAAATAACAATTATGTTATGTAAGTAAGTGCATATGGATATAAATAAAAATTAGGTTACGTTCATTACGTGCATATGGATAGATCATATGATTCAAGAAAAAACACAATATGGCATACATCCGATCGTTCATATTATTTACATTCACACTGATAAAATGTATCTAATTAGTTCCTGATATCAATTGATAGATTTAATAGAATTGAATAGACATAAATTACAATATATTTTTTAAGATTTTAGAGATTATCGTCAGTGAGTGTATCTTTTAGAATTCTAGATTACCGTTAGAGAGAGTGAGTGTATCTTTTTGGATTCTAGAGATTACTGTAAGAGAGATTGAATATGAGAGGATTACTACTCTTATTGTTATTTAATGTTTCAGAGTAGTTTGAATCGTCCGAATGTAAAATATTTAAATAGTAATAGTTTTATAAGCTTTCTTGTATCAAGCAAGCCTTCCTAAAGTGTAAATTGGTCACATGGTGATGTATTTTCTCTGAGGGGCATGTAAGCAGATATATTTTTATTGGTTGAGTGTTCTTTATTGGTTTTCTTTGTTGTTTCGTTTAATGTGATGAACTAATCCAGACTTCCATTTTCCCCCAACATGTAGACATCAAGTTTGAAGCTTTTGATAATGGAATGACCAGTGACTTCCATAGTGGATAATTATCCATGTCCAACTTGATATAAATTATTATCAATATGTATTTTTTTGGATTTGGCTTACATGATTGGATTGATGAGTTTTCAAGCATCAATCTTTAATTCCAATTTAGAAATATGTGAATAATGTATTATTGATTTTATTGTTACATGATATCATCCATTCTTTGACCTATGATAAAGTTGATAGTGATTATAATAATGTTAACCATAATAATACTATATTGTTCAATGTGTATAATACCAAAATGAAGGAATGCAATCTTCATTCTGCTCCACTCTATATCATTATTTTCATTTTCATTGATATTTCCAAATATCACTTAAGAGTGTAAGTTTAAAGGCGTCTTCAAATCTCAATTAATTATAGAGTTTTCTAATTGCAGTAACACTATAAAAAAATGTTATTTGTCAGGGACTTAACCCCTTATAAATGGTAAAAAAATTTCACAAATAAGAAATTTGCGAGGGGACTGGTCCCCTAGCAAAATAGGGGGTCGTAAATTTATTTACGAGAGACTTTACACGTGGATATTTTGCCAAGGGTTAAACCCCTCGCTAAATGCAATTTGTTTTTTACAACCTGCAACGTGCAGGCGTAGGCGCAGACTATGGTAGCTTGGTGCATCAGAAAATTTGCTTGGGGTTAAGCATGTGGAAAAATGTAAATGTTTTATCATTTGCAAGGGGATAAATCTCTGACAAATTACAAACGGTGATATTTACTTTGAAGTTTATCCTCTGACAAATTGTCAAAATATTTATAAAAAAAATTGATATTAATAGACTAAAAATCAATAATGATAGTTTTATAAATTATGTTATTATAATAAATTAATATAATAAATATAATAATTAAAATTCAATCAAACATAATAAAAATTAAAATAAAACTTCATACAAATTACAATAAAATAAAGTTCTTAAGTTCAAAATAGTTAGCATAAATTATTTCATACAAATTAAATTATAAACATCAAATTTTTAAATTTAAATATTTTATTATTGTTCATCTTGTTCTTCTCCTTGCTCTTCTTCTTCAACAATTCCTCCATATCCACTAGTTCCAACAAATCCACCACCAGAATTTTGTGGAGTTAAAAATTGATCAAATCTTTGAACCCGCTCATTTGCAATCTGCATTGCTTCTTGATACTCCTGTATTCGCCTCCTCATTTCTTCCCGCAACTATGTTTTTCTTCTCTGCATTTCTTGTTGCATCTCTAATTTTTTTTTCATCTCTTCAATTTCTGCATTTCTTGCTGCTACTTGGATTGCTGCCTTAGTATTCGTCAAGTTTCTCACAGTTTCAAGCATTTCGACGCTTAATATAGGTGGAGTTGATGTTCCTTCTCCATCAGCAAGTCTCATTTTAAAACTCCTATCACGCTGCTTGATAGTTTTGGCGTACCCTCCAGCACCATACACTCTCCCATTTTTCTTCTTTCCACCTGAAACATCATACCATGTCCGAAAACCCACAACAGAATCAATAGGATATCCCGGTGGTGGTTCAAGTTCAGGATGCTCTAACAACTATAGGACAAGTTGTCTATCAAACTTCTCCTACAAAAAAAATTAATTGTTATAATATTTTAAATAAGCTAGGTCCATATAAAAGAATTAAATAAAATGTTTTTAATATAAGAAAAACTTACTTGAGTGTTTCTTGCGCGCTCGTCAACAAACTCTCCATTTCTCTTGAGATGAGTCTCTAGATGGAGCTCATTAAGAAGTGGAGTTCTACCCAACTCTTCACGCTAATTGAATAAGTAAAAAAATAATTAGTTATATGTAATCTAAAATATAAATGATAAATTAATTTAAAAAGTAATTAAATTTACGTATCATCCTTCCTGCAACTTCAACAATACTAATACTACCCGCTGCGTAGTTGCAGCCACCAGCTTCAGATGCTCTATTTTTCTTTTCCTTTTTAGATATTTCCTTAAAATTTTCAAAATTTCAATGGACAATAAGATCTTGAAACACTTCTACTCCTATCCAACGTG